TGGGGGAAACTGTTTGCTACTTGTATAGAAGGCCGTGCTATTAAAATTAAAGAATGTTTATTAAACATTTTCTATTTGGGGAAATCAGATTTCATGTACAAATTGTTTTGTGTTTTGCAACTATAAACAACATGGTTTAAGTAGTTCTACCTTTTCCCTATCTCTGTCAGCATTATCCCATCTTTTCGCAGAGGCCCTATCTTTCTTTTCCTTCCTTTTTTCTACCAACGTAAGCAAAGAAGCCCTTTTTATTGCTTTTCATGTCCCTGGCAAACCTGAGCTCATTTTGCACTTTTGCACCGTGCAAACCTACAGCCAGCCTGGACACAGCATATTATTTGAGAACACAGAAATGCTGGACCACACCAACAACCACCATGTCAGACTACACAAGAGAAGCCATTGAAATCCACAAGCATGTGGACAATTTCAACAGAAAGGAAGAGACCATGAAAATGAACAAAATCTGGCTACCAGTATTAAAAAACTCTAAAATTATAACAGCTAAACAACAGAGAGGAAAAAACCAGGCACAGATTAACACCTCCCAGCAACAGATTTTCCCAGACTCAGGCAGGCCTTCAAATGCTAATGAAGGTGATCAGCTAAACATTCACACCTAACTGCAGCAGGGAAGAGCTCCTTGCCCCACCCCAGCCATTCCACAGATATATAAGCCCATTTTTCCTACTTCCAACAGACCTTCTCAACCTCTGAGGATGCTTGCCATAGATGCAGGCGAAACGTCAGGAGAAATGCCTCTAGAACATGGCTCTATAGCCCGAAAAAACCCACAAGAACCTAGTGATTCCAGCCATGAAAGCCTTCGACAATACATTAAAACCTACAGTACTTTGTTATTTGTTTGAATTCAAGCCCTATGAGGAGCGGCTTAAGAGCTGGCCATGTTTAACCTGCAGAAGAGAAGGCTGAGTGGAGACATGATGGCCATGTATAAATATGTGAAGGGAAGTAATAGGGAGGAGGGAGCAAGCTTGTTTTCTGCTGCACTGGAGACTAGGGGTCCTTCCACACAGCCCTATATCCCAGAATATCAAGGCAGAAAATCCCACATTTTATGCTTTGAACTTGTATATATGGCAGTATGTACTCAAATAACACAGTTCTAAACAGATATTTTCTGCCTTGATATTCTGGGATATAGGGCTGTGTGGAAGGGCCCTAGGATGCTGAGCAGTGGCTTCAAACTACAGGAAAGGAGATTCCATCTGAACATTAAGAAGAACTACTGACTGTGAGAGCTGTTTAGCAGTGGTACCCTCTACCCCGGAATATGGTGGATGCTCCTTTTTTTTGGAGGCTTTTAAACAGAAGCTGGATGGCCATCTGTCGGAGGTGCTTTGAATGTGATTTTCCTGCTTCTTGGCAGGGGGTTGGACTGGATGGTCCACAAGATACCTTCCAACTCGGTGATTCTATGATTCTGTTTCCCATCCTGTGGAAGGCTTCTGTCATGTCCCCATATGAGAAGCTGGAGCTGACAGGCGGGAGCTCACCCTGGTCCCCTGGATTCGAACCTCCAACCTTTTAATCAGCAGTCCTGCCAGCATAAGGATTTAACCCATTGCACCACCAGGGGCTCCCTGTGAATGTGCTGTTACACTGGCCAACACACATTTTGTTGCCTCGAATGTACTTCTTTGCCACTTTGTGCTTCTACCATTTTAAAGTTGATCTTTCTTTCTTTCTTTCTTTCTTGTTCCATGTGAATATGCATTTATATATTATTTATAAAGTACATTTTCTTATTGAAAGACACATAACAAAAATGGGGGGGGGGCAGAATGGATTAATAGCATTTCAATGGGAAAATTCATTTTCAGATAAGAACACTATGAGTTAAGCGCTCAGCTACGAAACGAATTGAAATCTTAAGTAAGGTATCACTGTATTTTGGAGGAAAGATTTTTTGAGCCCTAGCGGGCTTTTTGTAACCTGCAGTCCACTGGTTTATCTATCACTGGTTTGAATGGTTGATTACTCATTTGCTGCAAACCACAGTTTGAAGTATATTTGGAACCATGATTTCCCCACAAATGATTAGGAGTTTATTTATTTATTTATTTATTATTCAAACTTATTCAAACTTATATGCCGCCACTCCCCTGGGGCTTGGAGCGGCTTACAAGAATGACTAAAATCTAACACAATTTAAAACAATTTAAAAACAGCAAATCAACAGTCAAAACAAACATAATTCAGAATTGACCACATACAAAAGATTAAAATGTAATGAAAATTTCAATAAAATTATATATAGTCTAAAAACATTTGTTTTATAACTTTTGCTTGTAAGAAGCAGTTGTTCAAGGTCTATGTACAAACAATTTTGCCTGCTGCTGGAAGGATAGTAGTGGAGATGGGATGAAAGTAGCCAAACTCCCATCTTTTGTGTCTACACTCACCATACACCTGATTATGATGGAGATAAGGGAATGGTTTCTTCTTTGTGTGTCTGTGAAATCACACGTGTGATTTCACAGACACACAGAACCTTCTAGGTCACACAGAACCTTCTAGGTCTTTTAGATTGACACATTTTGGTGGTAGCCTTGCCCACTCTGCCCATAAATCCCAATGCCTGGGCAGCTTATATGGAAGGATACAGGCTTTTAAAAACCCTAAATCAAAATAATCTAGAACTGAATAGATCTTGCTAACACTTTGGATTTTTCTTTGAAATGGACCAGTAGTCAATGAGGCTGTTGCCATAGTGGATTTTGTTCCCTTTAATTAATTGTAGTCACCAGACTAAGCACATAATTTTGGCCAGTTGCAGTTTCCAAATACTCTTCAATGACACTATGACCAGTTCAAAAATCTCCTGGAACAAGCACAATTAAGTGCATTTGATTTTTAATTGTACAGATGCATTCCAGAGCATTGGAGAAACTGGTAACCCAGATTCAGATCTGCTACATCGGATTTGCTACATCAGTTTGAATGTACTCCTAGTTCCTGGCCTGCATCTGGGTTACCAGTTTCTGCAATATCGTGGAATGCTTCTACACAATTAAAACTCTCACTTCTTCTTTTTTTTTAGGTACAATGGAACTTTCCCCTTTTTCAAGGAGGTACCTCATTTCTTTACCCAATCTGCCAGCTGTTTGGGGGGGGGGAGGCAATCTGGCATGCAGAAAAAGTGTGGCTTTATGTTTTTCACAAATCTCTCAAGATTTTTGCACAGAGAGCCCAAATTTCTTTAAGCAAATATGATATTAAAACACTCAGGGGATTGCAAATATCAAGAGAGAATTGTGCAGAATTATTTGTTTTCTAGGCAGCATGGAAAATTATTAATCCTCACAAGTGAGGGTGAAAATTAGAATATTTCTAATTTTACCTTGTGATTTTAGTTTTTAAAGTTGCATGAATTGGTACAAGAAGTAAGCACTGATTTTTCCTAAAATGCTGGAGTAGCCCTCTCCCAACGTGATGACTTTTAATTGTGGTGTATTTCAATTCCCATTGTTTGTAGGCAGCATGTCAGGGTGGCTGGAAATAATGGCAGTTGTAGTCTTAACACATCTCAAGGTTTCAGGTTTAAGAAAACTTGTCAGTCATTCTCAGTGACTCCTGAGAAGCCACTATGTGTGTTGTGTAGGCAAGTGTGTCAGGTTCAAAGAGAAGGATTTGAAGACCAGGTGAAATGTGTGAATGAAGTTGTCTTCCTATCCTGATTTTCTGTCACTTCTCACTTTTCTGAACTTTCAGATTAATTGTTCATTCATCCCACGTATTTCTCTCCCAGTTCCTCCATGTTGTTTGGGCGTAAAGTATAATCCCCACCTACTCACCCTTTCATATCCATGCAGGTTATGTTCCTGAATTTACTGTGGAAACAGGAAACTGTAGATAATAGCGAACCTTATTGCAGTGAACAACTTCTGATAAAAGTTACTGTTGACTTGCCCTGGAGGACCTAGAAAATTCTATAGTAACTTTTGTTGGAAGCATACCACAGAATTGCCTGAAGGAACTAAACATTATTAGAAATGACATATTTTGTCAATGTGGTTATGTGAAACTGTCCTGGTCCCACAGATATGGAGGTCATACTGTATTTCATTTCCCTATATTCTCTAGTTTTGCATTTTGAAAGAGAGGGTACAGGTACTTATGGTATACCACCTACATAACTGGACTATTTTTTGTCTTTATCAATTGTTAATATATTCATAGATGATAATTGGAAGCTGTGTAATTAGAATTTAGGATGGTATCATTGCCTCACATTTTCCTTGCTCATTGTTTTAATAAACAATTGAAATCTGTTTTAGATTTTATAAATCTGATTAAATAAAAAATCCTGATTTAATTTTAAAAATCTGATGAATTGATTTTTATTATCTCTGAACACACTACACATTTTGGGAGAATTCAGTATACGCATATACATACACAACTAATATTCAGAGTTGCTTCATCTACGAAACAGCAGGAATATTAGAATAATAGAATATGACCTGTGAGATGGTTACTGTGGTCTTTGCAATGAACAGTTGAACTTATCTGTCAAAAAGCATTGGAAGAAACACAGAGCTGTAAGCAGTGAGGGGGCAAAACGATAACATTGCTTGCCTTCTTCCATCAAATTTTCCTTCAGTGTCCACATTTCTAGCATATAGAGAACTTAAAATTTAATCGAACATTTAGAAATACAATTTTGACATTCAAAGAAAAGGGGCAAGCTGAATTACCATGGGGGTGTAAACACAACAAATATACAGTAGATGAGCAATATTCATTGTCTCGCTGTCTAGAATTTGGGGGCTGAAGGAAAATTTCATTGAGGGATAGAATTTATTACTGTGAGTGATCATACATCTGAAGTAAAAATAAGCGGGAATGCATGTTAGAATTGGAAACCATCTGAGGAATGTAATCATCAGATGAAATGGACTGTTTTTCTCTTGAAGTGTTAGAAGACTGGCGTGTTAAAATGCTTGTTTTTGATTATTATTTCTTCTCTTTTTTAGCCATGTCTCAGGCAGTGCAGACAAATGGCACACAGCCTTTAAGCAAAACATGGGAGCTCAGCTTGTATGAACTCCAAAGAACTCCTCAGGTACCTTGATGTTGCATAATTTTGTCGATGAGCTTGTTTATTGTGCAAATATAATCTAAATTATTAGAAATAAGTAAAGATGCTTGATTTGTAAGTTTAATTTTTGTAGGATTCTTAGATGATTTCCTGACATCACCTTTTTTATCATTAGGAGGCTATTACAGATGGCCTGGAAATAGTGGTGTCACCCCGAAGTCTCCATAGTGAGCTGATGTGTCCCATTTGTTTGGATATGTTGAAAAACACCATGACTACAAAGGAATGTCTACATCGTTTTTGTGCAGATTGTATCATCACAGCCCTCAGAAGTGGGTATGTAAGGAAAAAATGTATGAAATCTTAATCAGAACTGGATAACATTTTGGGAATCTTCTTATTACCATAAGAGAAATGCAAATATAGTCTTGCTTTATTTCTCAGACTGTCATTTGCTTCCCAGGCAGGGTCAAGACTAATGGACAAGAATGGTGCATTGGGCACTTTCTGTAAAATTCTGCACGGGAGACATCCAGTACGTGCTATCACAACTAAGCTAGGCATCTTTAGTAGAGATCCCTAGCTTCTTCCTCACTTCTTTACCTAGCCAAACCAATAGAAAGAGAAAATTAGATAAGAGCAAGACAGACAACTTACCATAACTATCACTGCTAAAGTGAAGCTGGATTTTACATTCCCATACAAAAAATGAATCTTCAAGGTAAATGCCCAATGCACCAGTCTCAGCCTCCAAAGAAGAAGCCATTGAGTAATGGGATATACCAGAGCTGAAACAAACATTCCAGGGTTGGATTGTGGTCCTAAAATTCCATACTCTAAAGGAGGCCATAGAAAATGCAGACTTGCCTATCTTACAAAGTTTAGTAAAAGTAGAAGGCATAGACAAAGATGCTGCTCCTTATATTTCCCCCAATGGAGTATTTATTGATGAAGCAGAATTCACCTTTAGTCTGGTTGTCTTAAGATAACTAGAATGTGATTCACAGAAAGAAAAATACAAACTCTTTGCCAACTTTCTAATGTTGTGGACCACACTTTCGTCGCCAAGTACGCAGGCAAAAAGGAGATAAATCAAGCTTTGGTGCATATGTGATCTAGGAAGACATGGTGATTATATGTTTTAATGGTTTTTATATGGATTTTTATTATGTTTTGTTAAATATTTTAATGGTATTTATGACTGTTGTGGCATCAAATTGCTTCCAATTTGTAAGCTGCCTTCGGGCTGAGAAAGGCGGGATAGAAATACTGTAAATAAATAAATAAATCAAGTACATTCAATGTAGCTCTTAACATCTGTTTTGATATTTCCATTTACAAGAGCAAGAAATGCAGGCAATTTCTTCTTCCGAAATTCAAAATATCACTTGGCTTAGGCATGCAAAACCTACGCAAACTCTAAATTGGAAAATGCTGCTGTGCTACCTAAAACATTCAATAAGCACCAGTAAAAATACCTAATGAGAAGATAAAGTGAACTCAGATTTTTTTATGTGCCAAGAAGACAAAATGGCCCAGGGAGGCCTAAAATGTGGGAAAATTTCCTGTAGGATGCTTACAGAATGATGGGGATATTTAGGGGCTTGTTTGGTGTTTGGTGAGCTGCAGCCCCCAAATGTCTGCTAAGGGGCTAATATGGCCCCCTAGGCTCCCACAGTTGTTCACCCTTGAGGTATATTAATTTCCCCTCTTCCTACCACAGGAGAATCTGAGGTAACCGTATGTTTTTGTTTGCGTTTCAATAATGATAGTCTTAGATACAAGCTTCAAGCTTCAGACTGCAAACCTTTATGAAGAATGGTTGGTATGAAGAACATGCTTTTGGAATTAACATTCTCCTCTCCTCCTTAGAAACAAAGAATGCCCTACATGTCGTAAAAAGCTTGTTTCTAAAAGATCTTTGAGGCCAGACCCAAACTTTGATGCCCTCATCAGCAAAATCTATCCAAGTCGTGATGAATATGAGGCTCATCAGGAGAGAGTTCTAGCAAGGATCAACAAGCACAATAATCAGCAAGCTCTAAGTCACAGCATTGAGGAAGGTTTGAAAATCCAGGCTTTGAACAGGTAAAAGGTTCTCAAATACCTAAAGAGTTAGAAATAAGGAAGGTGGGAGAGAGCATTTTTAAAAATGCAGATGGGTTTGTTTTCAGTCTCCAGCATCCTTCCTAATTTGGATAGAAGGACTGGGAAAAGTTCATATCTGCCTGAGGAAAGTTCATATCTGTTGCTAGACAGACAAGGCTTGGTGGACCAGTGGATTGTAAAGCAGCTTTTTATGTTCATTAATTCCTGGATATTTTTCTCATGAAAAGATAACAGAAGGAAAGAAATGGCTTTTTGGTGTAAGAGCCTAAAGACCAGTACTTCCATGTTGTAACAAGTATAATCTAACATTTGTTTACAAATTAAGCTATAATGGTACCACATGTTACAACTTGAAATAGTTCTTGTGTATCTGTAATATTGATTGATCTGTCTTACAAAATTAATACTTGGTCATGGGCATGGAAAGGAATGTTAGATGGATTTATCGGTGTTTAAAGGCTCAATCTGTCAATATAATGTCATTTGTTTACTGGGCACAGTTCACACTTGTGTTTCTGCTTCAAGTAGCTGTTGCTGTAACACTTCAGGGATTCATACTCAGAGGAGAGTGGGAATTAAGTTCTGGATAGTATCTTTTTTAATTTCCCCAGAATGAGAACCTGTTCTATCAACTCACTAAACCAGGGGTCCTCAAACTTTTTAAACAGCGGGCCATGTCACAGTACCTCAAACTGTTGGAGGGCCGGATTATAATTTGAAAAAAACATGAATGAATTCCTATGCATGCTGCACATATCTTATTTGTAGTGCAAAAAAAAAAAAACACAGTAATTAAAATGAAGAACAATTTTAACAAATATAAATGTATTAGCATTCCAATGGGAAGTGTGGGCCTGTTCTTGGCTGATGGGATAGGATTGTTGTTGTTGTTGTTGTTGTTGTTATGTGCTTTCAAGTCATTTCAGACTTAGGTTGACCCTGAGCAAGGGCCGGGTAAATGAATTGGAGGGCTGTATCCGGCCCCCGGACCTTAGTTTGAGGACCCCTGCACTAAAATTGGCATGTGTTTTAATTTAGTTTTTCCACTCAGTTAAAAAGCTTTTGATTGTAGGGAATTAATAAGTATATTAATAATCAGCATTCTTACTCTTACATTGAGTAAGCAGTCTTACTGTATTGTGTGATAGACTTTTTATTCTTTGTATATTTCTGTTAGTGAGAAATATAAGATGGACAGAACAAATACATTTGCTAGTTACCGCAGGAGTGGCTCGAGAGTTGTGTGGTTTCATGCACATATCATATATGTTTTTTAGGTTACAAAGAGGCAAGAAGCAACAGATAGAGAATGGCAGTGGAGCAGAGGACAACGGAGATAGCTCACACTGTAGTAATGCTTCGACTCACAGTAATCAAGAAGCTGGGCCAAGTAACAAACGGACCAAAACATCTGATGATTCTGGTCTAGAACTGGACAATAACAATACAACAGTTGCAATAGACCCAGTTTTGGATGGTGCAAGTGAAATTGAACTAGTTTTCAGACCTCATCCTACACTAATGGAAAATGATGACAGTGCACAGACAAGGTAAGCAGTGATTCTTCTCTTTATTGGAAGCTGCACTCTGCATGTTACGCCGATTCAGTTTAGGGGCCACATCCTTTTAGGATTATGTATTGAAAATAAATATTTGGGAATGCCAAGCTGCTGCCCTCGTGGTATGTCTTGGATTATGTTGATGGTGGCAAGTGTCACAATCAACTGCATAGTTTGGTTTGGAATAAGTAACCATATAGATTGTATTTGCTCCTGATGCAGGTACATAAAGACCTCTGGCAATGCCACAGTTGATCACTTGTCCAAATACCTAGCTGTGAGATTGGCTTTGGAAGAACTCCGGAGCAAAGGAGAGTCAAATCAGATGAATCTTGAAACAGCCAGTGAGAAGCAGTACACAATTTATATTGCTACAGCAAACGGCCAATTCACTGTGAGTAGCTGGGCTAAAACATTTTTTTGGGGGGGGGGGGGGATACAGCTGCAAGATACACCCAAGCCTTACTCAGAAATTCTCTTTTATGTTTACACCAAACAGATGGAAGGGATGCTGTACTTGTCAAAGTATTTCCCCTGCCCTCAACATCCTTTTGTTGACTAGAATGTCTTAAAAGATGCTTAACTTCCTTTAGCTCAATCTGCATAAGTGCTATTATGCAGGTGTCTGTAGATGTCGGGATACAGCTCTTGGGTCACATGTTGAAATTGGGATTTCTGAAGTAGACCATTGGATATATTTCTATACTATTTGTGGCTGCCTACAGCATATTTTTGTGCATTACTATACACTGCTAGAGTGGCACAGTAGTTGAGGCATTGGGCTTGGATGTGAAGAAAATCACTGGTAGCCATTGATAGCTTCACATTTCTGAGTTTTACCTGTTTCTAGACTGGTTTACCAGTTTTAGCAGGGCTAAGGATATAAGTCTCCTTTGGTCTATTCCTATTACTTTAAGAAACGTCTTAATACAAATGTGAAAGAAATATAAGCTAGAAAACCATTTACTCTTTCTTTCTGAAATCCTGATCTCATTTTATTTGAGAGTCGGAGAAATGCCACCTTTTTAAAAAAATTGGGACAAAGATTAAATATATAGTACATTCCTTTCAAAGTTTCAGAAATTTGTGAGACATGGTTTCTGCTTTTCACTCTGTATGGCCAGAAATGTCCAACTATTTGCTTTCTATTACATCTTTATCCCTGCTAATACATCTTGTTGTCTTCACAAAAACAGTTCTGACAGCTGCATTCTTTATGTGTATGTGCACTTGTGAAAATTTATATTGAAGTTGATTTTAGCAAGATCATCTTAGTTGAAAGGAAGCCCATTCCATAGCATGCCATGTATCTTAGTGTAAGCTGCTTTAAGACTGTTTTTTCCCAAAATACAAAAAATATATTAAGACATCATAGTGATCCTATTGGGCTTCATATTAGTATAGTCTGATTTGTTTTCAGAGTGGTTATAAAGTAGGTTGTTCAGGCCCCTAACCTTCAACTAACATTTTGGCCCTTTTTACCATTGGAGCAGAGTGAGAAGTTTGAACAACATAATTGGATTCCTACATGAAGTCACTTTTGCGGCAGAAAGCTATTATAAATTCCTTATTAAAGGAAGGGAAAATGTTGCTCTACAGAGGCCAATTTCTTTTTTCCCAAATGTCCTTTAGGAAATAAATATAAATATGGGGGCGGTTTAGCTATGTTTTGGCCCAGAAGAGTGTCTCTACCCAAATCTAAAATATGATTGGGAGAAATGCTTGAAAGAGTTTTGGCTATGACAACTGTGCTTATCATGTTCTGGTTCAGTGGTTCTCAACGTGGGGTCCCCAGATGTTTTTGGCCTATAACTCCCAGAAATCCCAGCCAGTTTACCAGCTGTTAGGATTTCTGAGAGTTGAAGGCTAAAAACATCTGGGGACCCCAGGTTGAGAACCACTGTATTGTTTAATTGCCACACACAACACTATATAACCATGTGCCACTGAATAATTTCTACTTTTTCATGCTTGTCAAGTACACGTCCGCAAGAAAATTGTGAGCAGAAAAGCAACTTGAGAGCTTTTGTAGTTCCTCTCCCCTCCCAATCAATTTTTTTTCGTGTCAGGAGCGAATTGAGAAACTGAGAGAAGTGAGAGAATTGGTTGTCTGCAAGGACGTTGCCCAGGGGATGCCCGAATGTTTTGATGTTTTACCATCTTTGTGGGAGGCTTCTCTCCTGTCTCCGCATGGGGAGCTGGAGCTGACAAGGGAAGCTCATCCACACTCTCCTTAGATTTGAACCTCCAACCTGTCGGTTTTCAGTCCTGCCGGCACAAAGGTTTAACACATTGTGCCACCAGAGGCTCCTCCCAATCAGATAATCTATGAATACAATTTTTCCAATGTTTAAGCTTTGCAGCATGCGCCATTGACATAGTATTTAAAATACTGTCCCCCATACTCAAAAGGTCAAAAGTGAGGTAGTGCCTCTGAGTTGGTACAGAGCCACAAATGGTTCAGGTTCTTGTAGAAATGTTTTTAATAGAGTAAGATTAACCATATTCATCCAGTGCTAAATTGTAGTTATCTCCAGAAGTGACTAGAAATAACTGCAATAGCTCACTACTGAAGCAGTATGATGAGTATTTTGGTAGCAATAATAGTTTTATGAAATGAACTAAAGACTTTTGTGTAGAATACAAAACACACTTCATTCTGTGTGCAGCTACTTTTAGTTCTGCTTTTGGAAGTGGAATTGACATCTGGTTTATATTAAACTATTTATACACTGCTGTAACTAACTGCTCTTCTTCTTATTGCTGTTTATAAGATTGTGGTATGTCAGTGTTCCATTGTTTCTGTGATTATATATTCTGTTCATTTTGTATTCAACTACTAGTAGTTACTTCTTTTGAAACTTTGGCAATAATGCTGGCTCTGTTTTTGGCAGTAATTTCTATTTTGTTCTTTAGGTGTTAAATGGCTCCTTTTCTTTGGAGCTGGTCAGTGAAAAGTACTGGAAAGTGAATAAGCCCATGGAGCTCTACTATGCACCAACAAAGGAACACAAATAAGTCTGACAAGCTTTCCGTTGGAACTGTACTTGCTTTTATAGCTCTGGTTTATTTTAAAGAAATGAAGCGCCATACGCTGCACCATGGACAACTGCTGAGAGACTCTGGTTAATGAATATTCATATTAATTATTAGGCAGTATTTTGTGTGATATTTTAATTTATATATATATATTACTTTTGGAGATTAATCTGTACATTCCATTGTTGCTGTTAAATGTACTTTTTGATTTGGTGGCTCTTGTCCTATGCGCATGATGTTAGAAGCAGCAAAAGCCATTTTGAAAGCATGTTTTCATGGTGGTGCATCTTGTGTTGACAAACACACTAGCACCTCAGTGAGTGCCGACAAGCAAAGGACCAGTTTCAACATTGTTTGAATACTTATGGTTAAAATTTGCTAGCAGGTATGGACTAATTACGAGTCTGAGGAAAATGTTAGCGCTGGAATGTTTATTCACAGCAGTAACTGAACTATACATAGAGAGATGGGCCAAAATTAACAAAATGAAGCTCAATGGGGACAAATGCAAGATACTCCACTTAGGCAGAAAAAACAAAATACAAAGATACAGAATGGGGGACGCCTGACTCGAGAGCAGTATGTGTGAAAAAGATCTTGGAGTCCTTGTGGACAACAAGTTAAACATGAGCCAACAATGTGATGTGGCAGCAAAAAAAAAAGCCAGTGGGATTTTGGCCTGCATCAATAGGAACATAGTGTCTAGATCTAGGGAAGTAATGCTACCCCTCTATTCTGCCTTGGTTAGACCACACCTCGAATACTGTGTCCAATTCTGGGCACCACAATTGAAAAGAGATATTGACAAGCTGGAATGTGTCTAGAGGAGGGCGACTAAAATGATCAAGGGTCTGGAGAACAAGCCCTATGAGGAGCAGCTTAAGGAGCTGGGCATGTTTAGTCTGAAGAAGAGAAGGCTTAGAGGAGATATGATAGCCATGTATAAATATGTGAGAGGAAGTCACAGGGAGGAGGGAGCAAGCTTGTTTTCTGCTGCCCTGGAGACTAGGACGCGGAACAGTGGCTTCAAACTACAAGAAAGTAGATTCCATCTGAACATAAGGAAGAACTTCCTGACAGCGAGAGCCGTTCAGCAGTGGAACTCTCTGCCCCAGAGTGTGGCGGAGACTCCTTCTTTGGAGGTTTTTAAACAGAGTCTAGATGGCCATCTGTCAGGGGTGCTTTGAATGCAATATTCCTGCTTCTTGGCAGGGGGTTGGACTGGATGGCCCATGAGGTCTTTTCCAACTCTATGATTCTATATAGATTGCCCTGGCTACAAGTCCTGCATTCTGAATATGAAAGGTAGCTTTATATGTAACATTGGCCAGAGTCCTGTTGAAGACATTACAGAAGTTATTCAATACCTATTCCATATTGCTGTCTTCTTCCTCCCCACCATGATAGAAAGCAATTTTCAAATGCTGAATGTATGGGGGATTTCCTGACAGGGAGTGAGTAAGGGCCCATTTGGCTGCGATTCTGCAGCTGAGAAAACAACAGAAGTTGCCCCTCTTCTCTTCAGTGTACATCATGGTAATCTGAGAGAAAGATGCCTGTTCTCTTCTCCTTGGTTCAGAACTGTAGCAAGATACTACTGCCTGGGTGCCTCCTGGCCATCAGGGTGAACTCTTGTACTGGGAAGCTCCCCATGCAATGTAGGATCTCCTCTGTTCTCACACAGAACTGGCTCTACATATAGTTCCTTTGTCCATCATGCTTAAGGTAATAGGCTTCTCAACTAAGAAGCTGAAACCATCAAACAATGGTGAAGAAAAACAATAGTTAGCTTTTAACTATAAATGATAGTGACATCCATCGCTTAACAGCAGTTAAGGAATGAAAGATAACTTTCACTTCGGGGAAGGACTGCAAGGAAGGAGTGTACATTCTTCATGGTACTTTGCAATGTGCTAACCTTGGTTTGAATAGCCCAGTAAGGAATAGCCCAGTAAGGAGAGGGAAACTCAAAAGTGCAGATACATCTTGAAAATAGTAGTCCTTGCTGCCAGTTATTTAAGCATTGTGGAGCTCATTTAAATGGAGGCAAATCCATGTTTCTTTTGAAACCTGTGTCATTCTAGGTGTGAAATTCTGACTGCTAGAAGAGAAAGGTACCAAAAGCACATCTCTGTAGTGTTCCCACATGCATCTCCCTGCTCCCCATTTTCTTCTTAGCCATATTAACAGTACTTAGCACTTATGAGTTTAACAAATGCAGCATATTTAGCTGATTTTTAGTTTTGGTCAGAGCTCTGCACACAACCATTGATGGCTATGTATTCAAAGAAACCAGATTGGATTTGGTAAATCAATTATCACGTTAAATACATTGGTTTCTTTCACCTGCAGAAACTACCATCGTCTATACACTGAAGGGCTGTTGTTCACCCTGTTTTTTCTTTCTATGTGGATTGATGCCTTTTGATGCTTGGAATGGAAACACTGCACAAAAAGCCAGAGAGGTGGACAAGTCTGTGGAAAGCTCAATATTTTTTACTCTCTCCTTATTAGGATAACAGATCTAGAAACTATGCATCCATCTGTCATGCTTTCCTTTAAATTATGATGTTTTGGATAAAGCATATGGCTTTCAATTTCACTAATTTTAGTCCTTTGGAATAAGGAAAATATTGTGTAATACTCCCATTTTAAAAACATATACTACCAAATTCTTAAATTATGCTAGCAATTTGTGCCATGAAGCTTTACAATTATAAGTCAGAGGTGGAAAGGAAAATATGTACCATGACTGTTGGGTTTTGTTCAGTACTTTTTGTGTAATGTACAGTTTATATAGCTTGCTAGTGCATGTCCTCTCAATATAATGAGGTTTCTTTTTATGTGAAAATGCTTTTTTATGGGCAGATATGAATCGCAGCAGAACAAAATCTGTATTGTGATTTACTTTGTTATAAGATAAACACGTCTGTAAAATTTTGAAAGCTTATCTACCTAGAGGATGTTGTTCCCAACTTAGTGTGGGAGAATGTGAATTTTTACTTCCATGTTATAGTGAATTCACTATTTATATTTAGTTTAATACATAAAGTAGCTGTTTCAACCAATCAATTGCAGAGTTTTAGTACTATCTGTAATTACAGGTCTAAGTGAAAATATTTCCTTGCTTCTGCTGCTGTTAAAACCATTGTCCACTACACCCATCATTCATCAGTTTGCTCTGCTGCCTATGGGACATGCGGTCTAACAACACCTGGAATTTACAGCTGGATTGGAAAAATGTCATTTTGTAGTAGGATCTTGTGGATGTTCCTTTGATAATAACCTCCCTTCTTAGTACCAACAGTTCAATGTGAATGCCTTTTGGAAAGCTGCTCCCCCCATTCCTTTACCTTGTGGTGGCTTCTATTAGCAACGAAAGCTAACACTCTCTGCACACAGATTTCTGCATTTTTTGTATCAACAGTAGGCGATTGTAGGTTTCTGGAAAAGCAGGGCCTTGCTTCCAGAATACTTGACAAACACAGACAGGGCACTTGAAATGAACGCTATTCTATCTTAAAATCTACTCTTCTAAACTGAAATCATTACTGCTTATTTAAAGAGAAGTTGCACACCCAAGTTCTAGTAATGCGGAGTTATCCTTTCAGTGCTGCACAGGGGGCTCCTTCCATTAGTCTTGCCTTTTATTTTCCACTCAAGTGGTGAAAACAGTAGAAATAAGTGAACTTGGTACCATATATCTATGTTCATTATGTTCAGAAATACTCCTGTTTGCTGACACTATTATGATAATTCAACATAATCTAATACAGCAGTGCAGCATAAAAAGGAAATGTTCAGGTGTTCAGTATCTACGTATCCTACAAGTGTTTTCAGTCCAGCTGTCCAGTTGAATACATTTTATTGTTGTACTACTTCTATACTAGATTTAAGATTCTGGAAATTCCAGAATAGAAGTTTTGACCACATCTGAATTGTAGTAAATGGAGTACTGACAAAAGAAAATGGTTTACTGACGTGTGCGTGTACACACACTGACATACACCGCTCTGCTACGTCCCATGGTGTTATCTTCTCATACATTTGAATATGGAATGATCAAAGAGAGCAAATTCAACATGGTTGAAAAATGAATTAACTTTAAGAGGCAAACATTACATGAAAACAACTTGAACCTACATCTTCAAAGGTCTCTCTAATAGTGTCAGGACAAATTTTGCCAGGTCCTGTATTATATGCTTTCCTCTGCAAAGTCACTTTCTGTTACTGGCTGGGAATCTTCAGAAGAGTGTAGAGGGCTTTCAGTTGGTCCTCCTGTATATGTAGGAGTGCTGTATTTCACTAAGATAGATTTAAACTGCACCAGGGGGACATTGGTACGTACACCCATTGGGTCAAAATGAGTTCGACTCACTCGATAGCCGGCTTGAGAGAGATAATGCAAGAACTTATTTAACCTGGGGAGAAAATGCAAAACAGGACAAAATAAATACATTTTCTACCAGTCACCCATAATTATGCTTTATAATATCAAACTACTCACTTTGGCATGTTCATTCCCTTAATGCTGTGTCTGTGAATATTGTAATAAAATGCAGGATGTTCAGCATTACTTTCTAGTTTCTGACGCTTTGCACCATTCTGACTAACTTCATTACCTGTTCTTTTCCCTGTAACAAGAACATGTTAAAGTTCAGATCAGATTTGTTAGTTTATCATCATCATACAAAGCAATGGAATTATGTAGCTAATAGCTATATAAACCTGAAGACGCTGTACCCCTCCATCTAAATTGAACATTGTGACCCTGCATTGTTCTGTAGTAGAAAATCTCTACATTTCACAATTCCCATTCTGTAACTAGCTTGTTAGATGTTCTGTGAAATGAACAAACCCTAAGCAATCTCTCTTCTCTGTATACAATGATGGAGGCATCTATTACTGGGCTATTTCCTGTCAAACCCCAGGCTAGGTAAAAGTAGAATCACATGTCTAGATCCCTAGTTCCATCCCCAGTTCTTTCCCTTGCCTTCACCTGGGTTAGGTTTTCTTGATTCTCTCTGCATTTCTTCATTGCCCTTCCTCAACCTTATTCTCTATTTATAATGGCTTCTACTCCTTTTAAAAATGTCTTTCCTTTCATTGTTCTTATTGTAATCCGCTACCTTGGCAGCCACCTCTCCACAAAAGTTAACATTGACACCGAAATTCAACACCGCCTGAGCTCTGCGAGTGCAGCAATTTTCCGAATGAAGCAGAGAATGTTTGAGGACCAGGACATCTGTAAGGATACCAAGGTGTTTGTTTATAAAGCTATTGTCCTCCCAACCCTGCTATACTCCTGCGAGACGTGGACAGTCTACAGACGTCACATGCAACTCCTGGAACGATTCCATCAGCGCTGCCTCCGGAAAATCCTGCAAATCTCTTGGGAACACAGGTGGACAAATGTCAGCGTGCTGGAAGAAGCAAAGACCACCAGCATTGAAGCGATGGTCCTCCGCCATCAGCTCCGCTGGACTGGCCACGTCCGGATGCCCGACCACCGTCTCCCAAAGCAGTTGCTCTACTCTGAACTCAAGAACGGAATGTTGGTGGGCAGGAAAAGAGATTTAAAGATGGGCTCAAAGCCAACCTTAAAAACTCTGGCATAGACACTGAGAACGGGGAAGCCCTGGTCCTTGAGTGCTCCGGCTGGAGGTCAGCTGTGACCAGCAGTGCTGTAGAATTTGAAGAGGCGCAAACAGAGGGCGAAAGAGAAAAACATGCCAAGAAGAAGGCGTGTCAAGCCAACCCCAACCAGAACCGCCTTCCACCTGGAAACGGATGCCCTCACTGTGGGAGAAGATGCAGAGTAAGAATAGGGCTCCACAGTCATCTATGGACCCACCGCCAGTACACTGACCTTGGAGGACCATCATCCTCGGACTACGAGGGATTGCCTAAGTAAGTATTATTGTAATCCACCCACTGGAGCCAGAGATTTGGGGAATGCTACAAGGAAGTCTTACTGCCCTGAATTGCCAAACTTCAGCCCTTTATGCCATTCTTTCCTCTTTATCCAAAATGCTGCATTTATTTGTATTTAAACTTAAAAAGGTGCCTTGGAAGAGCATCTCTCATTTCCCTCCTGAAACTCACTAAGCATCCCTTCAAACCTCTCTACCATACCTCTCAAACTTTTTTATCTCATGGTTTTATTTCTAGTGACTATCACCAGAAGAGTGTTGGGACTGGGAACTCTGCCCATAATTCCAGCTTGATGTACCATTGAAAGGAACTCAGTTATATCCAATCTGGACCTCAGATTCCTTCCTAAAATTGATTCTTTATAACTTTCAATTTCTCTGCTTTCCTTTTCTTTCTGAAAAACTTTGGCATAAGTTAGACTTAGGAAAGTTCTAAGCATTCTGAGACTTTATTCATTTCTTTCTTCCCCATTTTCTGAGAAGGTCAATGTTTTCACCTTAGCGTAGCATGCCTCTTCATGGTATATGATCCTCGGAATTACGCAAACTATCATATATTATTTTACCAGATCAGACCCATGGTCAAATCCTACTTTCAGTAGATATTGTATTGGATAAATTTGCCTCTACTGACACAGTATTTGGCAAAGGTTCTTCTTTCCTAACTGGCTATCCTCCAACATCCCTTTATTGTATCTTGGACATCTCCCTTTGTTGCATAAGGATAGTGGCATATCGGTATTTACAAGTGTATTCTTGTATTGGAAAGCAAATAAATCCATGCCTATCCTTGTAATGGCAGTATTTTCTATTCAGTCCAGGCTATGCCAATCAAACATATAAATGTCAATACACAAAACTATATGTTTTGCTCTCTAAATGGCTTGTCATCCTTGCTGCCCTTCTCTGAACCATTCCAACATAATCTACAACCTACACAAAATAAGACACAGAAATGAATGTAATTCTGTCCTCAAGATCAGACCTAACCAATGCTGTATGAAGTGGGACTATAATTTCCCTCAATGGAAACTATGCTTCTAGCTGAAGATTTTTTAAGAAGCACTGGACATGTATGTACAGCATAACAAAGAGAAAAGGAGAGAGTAGATAAGCCTGCATCATCAGATCACCATCAGTTCCAAGCAGAGGTCTATAAGTTTGGCCACCTAAATTGAAATCACGAGAAAAATGGAGATTGGTAGGGAGAAAAAAGTCATCTCTAGATTCATTTTGGAAAAAGTTTCCAAGGTTCAAAAGATTTTCGTTTATTTATAAAATACTTCCTTAACCAAGTTGTTTAATTTCATGTGTCCCTATTGTTTACTTTTCAAGAGGAAATGTTGAATTGCTCTTTATTATTAGTTTGGATACCGGGTTATTTCAAAAAGGCATTGTTTGTTTTGGGGTATTAGGTAATATCATTTAGTTAATTAGTCACACTATTTATTAGAAAAACGCCAGTCTTTGATTTCATTTTATATGAATGCTCCCATTAGAAAATACATAACTATGTGGGTGAACTATTCCCAAAACCATAGGTCATTTCTCTCCAAACCAGGCCTGTATGTACAGCTGTATGCACATTCCTCTCCAAACCAGGCCTGTATGCACAGCTGGCCATGTTGGATCTGTGTGCCAAATGTGGTCTAGATATGACGTTGGCTGGGCTCTCTGGGTGCAGGTGAACTATAACTCCCAAAATCAAGGTCAATTCCCCCAAACCCCAGCAGTATGTTCAGTTGGTCATGGGGCTTCTCTGTGCTAAGTTTGGTCCTGCTCCATTGTTGGGAGGGGTCATCATTTCTCTGGGTGCAGGTGAACTTTATTTTTATTTCTCGTGTCAGGGCAGCCAGTCAGTTATATTACATTTCTAACAGAACAAAGCAAACAAACAAACAGAGAAAATACAAAATGTGTGAGTTTGGTAGTTGATTAAATGTCCTTTGACCAGTATCTGGCCACTTGGAGTGCTTCTGGTGTTGCTGCAAGAAGGTCCTCCATTGTGCATATGGCAGGGCTCAGGTTGCATTGCAGCAGGTGGTCAGTGATTTGCTCCTCTCCGCACTCGCATGTCGAGGATTCCACTTTGTAGCCCCATTTCTGAAGGTTGGCTCTGCATCTTGTGGTGCCAGAGCGCAGTCTGTTCAGCGCCTTCCAAGTTGCCCAGTCCTCTGTGTGCCCAGGGGGGAGTTTCTCATTTGGTATCAGCCATTGGTTGAGGTTCTGGGTTTGAGCCTGCGACTTTTGGACTCTCGTTTGCTGAGGTGTTCCAGCGAGTGTCTCTGTAGATCTTAGAAAACTATGTCTGGATTTAAGTCGTTGACATGCTGGCTGATACCCAAACAGGGTATCAAACAGGGTATGCAGGTGAGCTACAACTCTTAGATTCCAAGGGCAATCACCCCCAAACTCCACCTGTATTCACAATTGGGCATGTTGGGTCTGAGCCAAATTTGATCCAGATCAGTTATTGAGGAGGTTCTAAGTGCTCTGGATGCAGTGTAAACTGTAACTCCCACGTGAGTGGGTCATTCCTGCCCCAACCCCTCCAATATGTTCTGTTGGCCATCAGGGTTCTATGTGCCATGTGTGTTTCAGATCTGCCATTGGGGGCTTCAGAATGCTCTCTGGGTACAGGGTGAACTACAACTCCCATGTGGATGGGTCGGTCCCCCCACAAACATCTCCAGTATTAGTCACCAGGGTTCTGTATTCAAAGTCTGGTCCAGATCCATTATTGGTGGGGTTCAGAGTACTCTGGATGCAGGGTGAACTACAACCCCTACGCGGGTGGGTCTTTGCCCCCCCCCCCCCCCCCCAGTATTTTTTGTTGGCCTTCAGGGTTCTGTGTACTACATGCATTTCAGATCCGCCATTGGGGGCTTGGGAATGCTCTCTGGGTGCAGGGTGAATAACAACTCCCACATGGATGGGTTATTCCTCTCCCAAATTCTTACAGTATGTTCTGTTGGTCACCACAGTTCTGTGTGCCATGTTTGGTCCAGATCCATCATTGGGGTTCAGAGTGATCTGAGTGCAGGGTGAACTACAATTCCCACGCTGGTGTCCCGTCCCCCCCCCCCCCGTCTGTTCAGTATGTTTTGTTGGTTACCAGGGTTCTGTGTGCCATGTTTGGCCCAGATCTGTCAATGGTAGGGTTCAGAGTGCTTTGGGTGCAGGGTGAACTACAACTCCCACGTGCATATGTCGGTCCCCTTACAAAGACCTCCAGTATGTTCTGTTGGTCACCAGGGTTCTGAGTTCGAAATGTGGTCCGGATTAAATATTGATGGGGTCCAGAGTGCTCTGGATGCAGGGTGAACTACAACTCCCACATGGGTGCGTCAGTCCCCCACATCCCTCCAGTATGTTCTGTTGGTCATGGAGGTTTTGTGTCCCAAGTTTGGTCCAGGTCGCAGTGGTCTGTGGAAGTGGGTGAAGGTACTGCAAGTCACATCGTCTATGGTCCATCCTCCCCCAACCATCACAAGGACACAAAATGCATCATAGGGAGTCAGTGTGTCAAATTTGGTCCAGGTGCATCATTAGTTCAGGTCGAAGTGGATTGTGGAACTGAGTGAAGATACTGCAATTCTCATCGTCGCTGGCCCCCCTTCTCCCAAAACTCACCAGGATGTAAAGTACGTCATGGAGAATCTGCGTGGCAAGTTTGGTCCAGGTCCATCATTTGTGGTCACTGGATGTGAAGGTACTGCAAATCCAATCATTTGTGGTCCATCCTTCCCCAAACCACACCAGCAAGTAAAGTGTGTCATTGAAAGTGGGGGGAGGGGTCCTGTGTGGCAAGTTTGGTCCAGGTCCGTCATTTGTGAGGATTGCAGTGGTCTCAGGAAGTGATTGAAGGTACTGCAAATCCCATCAGCTGTGGCAAGTGTGGTAGAAATCCATTGTTGGTTGGGTTCACAATGCTCTCTGGATGTAGATGAACTACAACTCCTATAAATCATGGTAAATTATTCCCGAAACTCAGTTGCTGATCAATTCCTGTTTGCCATGTGCCATAGGAAAGGGTAGGAAAGAGTTAAGAGAAAGGCAGTGGGCGGAGTCATGCAAATTCCACAGCAATGAGAAAAGTAAGGAACCCTGAGATGAAAAACGGAACATTTAGGATGAAATTGTCCCCGAATGAAAGCATTCCTTGGGTGGTGGGCAGTATGGTGTTTGGGGAGTTCATTTTCCAGGGGTTGGAAGACATGTTCATGTAACCTGAAATGTCCTTGGAGGGAGGGCATTTGGTGGCTCTTCAGCACTGTGGGTTATAGCTTTTTGTGGAGGCCAGAGGCTGTCTGTGTAAGTGGACTCCTTGGCTGCATACAAACATACATACACATTTTCACTTTTATTATGTAGTTAGATTATATGATGGGGATTTTTTTTCTGTTGCTTCTGCCTCTGGCACAAAATTTGTGTGAAAGAAGTAATTTCCAGGAACACATTAACTTTGCAAAAAAGAAGTGAACCTCTTTTTTGCTGTACCTATCTTAGTTTGACTTGCGTACTGCTCAGAATTGGAGGTAAAGGCATATCAGTCTACTGTCTTGCCTCTTCTGCGTAGCAACGGAACATAAGCCAAATACTGGCCATCTCCTACTTCCAAATAAATTACTAGACTTTCACAGTAAGGAGCTAATGTTCCATTTTGTTCTAGGTGCTGCAATAGATGGATAGCTACGTACCATGTACAACAAAGTATTCCGCTGTAGCATCTGGTGTCCTAATAATCACACCACATTCTTCTAAACACAAGGAAATCAGAATTATATTTAGAAAACATTTATCTTTGAAAAGAAAGGGAAAAATCTAAAAAAAAATCAATAGGGTTACTTTCATGGTTATAGATTAACTCATGTTATTTTTTTCACAATAACATTGCTGAGATTTGAGTAGTATGGTATAAATAAGATGTTTTGAGACATCCTGGGGAACGCCCTCCCCAGCTACATCAGGTTAGCCCCCTCCCTTCCCTTCAGGAAGCAAATAAAAACATGGCTCTGGAACCAAGCTTTTGGCCAATAGTGCTGTGCAATAAGTAAAGTGGATTTATGTGCAATAATGACCGGAATGGCCATTGACTATGTCCTTGGATTACGTGATTTTAAAATTGTGTTTAATGTTTTATTGTTTTTAATTTTGTTTTAATGTACATGTCTATTTTCTATTATATCTCTGTTGATGGCATCAAATTGCTGCCAATTGTAAGCCTGCTTTGAATCCCCTTTGGGGTTGAGAAGGGCAGGATGTAAATATAGTAAATACATTTAAGAGGATTTTTACAACCTTCACACTTTTTGCCACAGCAAAGCTAATTGCAATATACTATTTGTATGACCGCACTGCATATCATTGTCATCTACCATACACTTTCATTAATGTATCTTCATCATCAGGGTACTGGTGGTGTTCAATGTATCATTAGGAATCCACCTTTGTGGAGAAGTCTGTGGACAACTTGTGAACAAAACACTCAGTCTCCGATGTATTTGGGACAGGATCATAACTTTGTCTAAGTTTATGGAACTCAGAAACAATGGATAATAGAAATAAGGCTACAATCGGATTGGAAATCCTTTCTGTTGCGCCTTTGATGAGTAGGTATACAACCTCACACCATTGCTTAGCCTTAACGTTCCGTCATTGGAATATACGTCCCGCCCCTCGTGGGAAAGCTTGATTCTACAACCTCCGCTATTATGAGCCCTCCTCCACAAATAACCTGCTTCTCCTTTATCTCACCTGAGTTTTTAATTAGTTTTAATTAGTTTTTCTTTTAATTAGTACATGTAGCCCACCCACTGTCACTGTGTTTGTACTTATTGTAATTTTATATTGTTATGTATTCACATGTTTTATGTAATTATGATGTTGTTGTTTATTGTTTGCGTTTTTGGTTTTACTCTGTTGTAATTTGTTGTTTGGGCTTGGCCTCATGTAAGCCGCCCCGAGTCCCCATCAGGGAGTTGGTGGTGGGGTATAAATAAAGATGATGATGATTATATATTGTATGCAATCAATTAGTTATTTGCTACTCCTAACATCAATAGAAATTGAAAAACATACAATACACTCTTCAACAGGAAATTATCGTAGTTAACAGCCTTTAGCTGCTCCTTAATAAATAGGAAGGAAGATGAAAGATGGGCCTGGCAATTATACAGGCAACAATATTACTCTAATTCTATTAAACTATTTGCAAATTAATGCTGTCTTGAAAAGATTAAACACAGAATGAACTCTTCCTATATTTAAAAATCACAAGTCTTTCTGATTAGCCAAGTGTATTGTGTGATATATAGGCTAGCGGGCACCTTCTTGAAACATATGAAGGGATGCCTCCCCCCAGTTGTTATGGCTGCATTATTATTATTTTTTTCTTATTCTTAAAGTAGGCCTTGTGTAGTGCTAAAGTCTCATTTTCTGAAAAATTCTCAGAAGTGCTATTTTGACCATACACAAGTTTTAGTTATATTTTAAAAACATTTTTCATTAAAATTCTGAAAATGCTATTAACCTTGGCAACAAGGCTTGATGATTGCACTACTCCTCCTTTAAAGGTAATTTTGGACATTGGGACGGGGACCTCATGAGGGTTGCAAAAATGAACAGGGAAGACATCATATACCCCATTGACTGCATGTCACTCATTGCTAATCTATCTTTGCTATTTGGAATTTTGTTGCTTGCTTTTAATGAACAAAGTTTTACAAAAATTGATATATCACCTTGTTTGTTCTGGTTGCTGGGGCCATGGATTGAAAACTGCTTTAGGATTGTACACTCTGCTTCACAGATGAGAGTTTTTAGAAGCGGCTGAATGTCTTCTAAACCATACTGCACTGCTTCAAACAACATTCTTCTGAGAAAAGCAGTGTTGAAGAGGGAACCCGACCTGCAATATAAACAAAACTACAGTATCTTTTTTTTAAAGATAAAACTAAAGACTTTGTTGCATTAGAATGGAGGGTGAAGAGACAATGCCCATGTGCACTGGCTGTGCTATGAATATATTTAAAGAATGTGAGCTACTTCCAGATTTCAGTTTTTAGAAAGGATTGCTTTTCAGAAGTAATAATAACAACAACAACAACAACAAAAACAACAACAACAACATGCCAGACATCATGATTGTGGAAAAGAAAAAAAAGTCTGGATTATTGATGTCGCCATACCAGATGACAGTCGCATTGAGGAAAAACAACAGGAAAAACTCAGCCGCTATCAAGACCTCAAAATTGAACTGCAAAGGCTCTGGCATAAACCAGTACAGGTGGTCCCAGTGGTCATTGGCACACTGGGTGCCATGCCAAAAGATCTCAGCCGGCCTTTGGAAACAATAAACCGACAAAATCATGATCTGTCAACTGCAAAAGGCCACCTTATTTGGATCTGCGTGCATCATTCGAAAATACCTCACACAGTCCTAGACGCTTGGGAAGTGTTCGACTTGTGATTTTGTGATACAAAATCCAGCATATAGCTCTCGTTTGCTGTGACATACTGTGGTTTTGTGTCAATAATAATAATCCTTTACATATAGACTGCCCTATCTCCATGAAGGGACACAAGGCAGTTTTCAACACTTATGGCAAAGTAATTAAATGTTTGCATTTAAAAAGCATCCAAATGATAGTAGCCAAATTGGAACTGATTATTGGGATGAGAGGACACTTGTATGTTCTGGTAATGTAAGACTCACAATATGGGAGAATCATATGATTACACTATGTAAGACGGTTTTTGTTCCTGGGTTATAAATGTCATTTCATAATTGGTTCTATCATAAAAACATGGAAAAAATTTATTAAATTGCAAAAACTTGGTTTTTGCAAGATATCCTGCAGCACATTTTGCTATGGTTTTTCAACAAATATCTCATAGATTCTCAACCAAATCAACCTAGTTTGTGGCAGCCACAAAAACAAGGTTTCTGGAGTACAACAACTATTTCAAAGTAAGTACCGCACAATTAAACAGAAAATAATACTTTCAAATGAACATATTGTTTTTCAAATTTTGTTACATAGTGTTGTTATTCTGATAGTGGCTGCACTTGCTTTTCATTTAATTCACATGATAAAGGCAAACATCCAAACAACACAGTACCTCATTTCTGCACATCATTGGCACCTTACCCTCTTTATGATAAAGGGAAAAATTTAAGTTTGACAAAATCACACTTGGGCTCTTGCTTGCATATGTTTCACCATACCGCAAACTGGCACTCATTGTGATGCTATGATGTTATGGGTATCAACTCATTTGCAGCCCCTCCTTCCCATCCAACTTCTAGCATTTTGCTGAAAATCAATGCTTTAATGAATGCTTTATCCAAAATGCTTTGAAACAGAAGTTCTTTGGATTTTGGAGTATTTGCATGTAATGTTAAATCTTGGAGAAGAAATTCAAGTCTAATGACAAATTCATTTGTGATTCATATATACCTTATAGCCTGAAAGTAATGTGATACAGCATTTTTTAAAATAATTTTGTGCATGAAACAAAGTTTGTGTACACTGAACCATCAACAAAATTACCACTATCTTAACCACCCATGTAGACAATTTTGGAGCATCAGATTTGTAGTTTTATTTCCACGTTCACTTCTATAATGGTGAAAAGATAGCTGCTATTTATTATTACACAGCCCAACAATGCTAACACCTATAGGAAAATCAAGAAAAGAGACATACCATAAAGGGCCAAGTTCAATTGCTGTCTTGCCTGTCATGCGGCTATGGCAGTCGCAGGGGAGCTGCCGATAAGGATTCTCTGTGACAGGAAAAACCCATGAGCATTATTTTCTAAACAAATATTTTAGACATGTGCATGTTGTTTATAAATATAAATGAATGCAAGGTGAACAACGGGTGTTACTTGAAGAAAAAAACATTGCAGTACAATAGTTGCTTTTAACAATATAACTTGTTGCAGTGACTGTTAGGTACAGAATAAGGCAAAACAGTGTTCTGAAGAAATTGATGTAGGGGAGGGTATCATTCAGCCTTGCTTGAGGTTAGGTTTTCAATACATCCTACTCCGAAAAAGCCCCAAAACAAACAACCCCCTGACCTCCCAAAATTATCACCCAACCCAGAAAGCTTACAAAAAAAACTGTTACCTTTTTGTGCAGCCACCAGAAAGAAAATGCAAGGACTGTATTGTCGAAGGCTTTCATGGCTGGAATCACTTGGTTGTTGTAGGTTTTTCGGGCCATGTTCTAGAGGCATTCTCTCCTGACGTTTCGCCTGCATCTATGGTAAACATCCTCAGAGGTAGTGAGGTCTGTTGGAACTAGGAAAATGGGTTTATATATTTGTGGAATGACCAGGGTGGGACAAATAACTCTTGTCTGCTGGAGCTAGGTGTGAATGTTTCAACTGACCACCTTGATTAGCATTTGGTGGCCTGGCAGTGCCTGGGGCAATCTTTTGTTGAGAGGTGATTAGATGTCCCTGATTGTTTTTCCTCTGTTGTTTTGCTGTTGTAATTTTATAGTTTTTTAATACTGGTAGCCAGATTTTGTTAATTTTCATGGTTTCCTCCTTTCTGTTGAAATTGTCCACATGCTTATGGATTTTAATGGCTTCTCAGTATAGTCTGACATGGTGGTTGTTAGAGTGGTCCAGCATTTCTGTGTTTTCTAAAATTACAACAGCAAAACAACAGAGGAAAAACAAACAGGGACATCTAATCACCTCTCAACAAAAGATTGCTCCAGGTACTGCCAGGCCATCAAATGCTAATCAACGTAATCAGTTGAAACATTCACACCTAGCTCCAGCAGACAAGAGTTCTTTGTTCCACCCTGGTCATTCCACAAATATATAAACCCATTTTCCTAGTTCCAACAGACTTCACTATCTCTGAGGATGCTTGCCATAGATGCAGGCGAAATGTCAGGAGAGAATGCCTCTAGAACAGTGGTTCTCAACCTGGGGGTCCCCAGATGTTTTTGGCTTACAACTCCCAGAAATCCCAGTCAGTTTACCAGCTGTTAGGATTTCTGGGAGTTGAAGGCAAAAAACATCTGGGGACCCCAGGTTGAGAACCACTGCTCTAGAACATGGCCATATAGCCCGAAAAACCAACAACAACCCAATTCAAGGATTGTTTATTTCCAGTAATTATGCCTTATTGAGAACTATGTGAAATTACAATACGTGAAGATTACCTTCTATCATGTTGCCCTCTTTCTTGAATACCCTTTCTTCACACCACTGACAATGGATTAAGTACCGAATTTTCTTGGCTGTATCGTCTGCAGGAGAAGGCCCTCTCAACACCCTCACCTCCACAAGGACAAAATGCTCAAGAGCCACTGTGAGCAAAACCTCAATGCCTTTGTTGCATCGAGCAGCAGCTCTGCAAAAAGATCCATGAGATACCACATAACTTACACTGTCTTGTGTTTATTTGTACTACAATGCAACATGTTAAGTATTGGCAGTTCTACATACAAAGAAGTGTGGAACTAGTGTGGACTGTTTAGTGAAGAATTAATTTGCATGCTGCTGGTGATTATTTGTGGAACAAATTGTGGAACAATACAGCGCTTACGGTATGGTATAGCATGGGGTATAGCATTAGGTAGGTCTATTTTAAAAGTAATTCTCAAGCAATCAGAAATTATCCAGCATATACCAGTCCTCATGGGTGTCTGTTAACTTAAGAGTCCACTGTACATTTCTGGTGGTCTTTGTTCAGGCTGATGGTAACACATTTTGAAAAACTACTTTGAACTGTCGAAGGCTTTCATGGTCAGAATCATTGGGTTGTTGTATGTTTTTTTGGGCTATATGGCCATGTTCTAGAGTCATTCTCTCCTGACGTTTCGCCTGTATCTATGGCAAGCATCCTCAGAGGTAGCGAGACCTCACTATTTCTGAGGATGCTTGCCATAGATGCAGGCGAAATGTCAGGAGAGAATGCCTCTAGAACATGGCCATATAGCCTGAAAAAAACCTACAACAACCCACTACTTTGAACTATTTCTGCCTTGACTGTGTTCCCTCTTCTGGATCTAAGTTCAGAAGTCTCTTGGATAACAAGCTGAAAAGAAGCACCTATTAGGAATTCCAAATGGGCAACTAAGGAAAATCATTGCAGCTTTCTCCTGCTGGAAAAGGAGACAACCATTATTTAGGCACACTGAACGTACCTTGCCACTGCAGCAACTATCATCCTAGCAGCCAGCTCCTTGTAGTACTCCGTCCTGACAATGTTGCAGCCGTAGTGCCTCTGAGCCACATGCTGGGCCTTCGAATAGAGAGAACTGATATCTGTTGATGTCACTGACACAATGCCAAGGTTTCTTACATTTCTGAAGGCTGCATCTAGATAGTTTACAGATGACCCAAATGGATCCAGATGGCTGTAGAGGGGGTTAGGAAAAACAATGTCAAAGCACATTAAGGATCACACACACATACACATACATTTTTATTGTTTAAAGGTGATATACAGAATGTAAAAGAAAATAAAGGAAATACATCAAATAAGGATTACTGACGGTAAAAGATATAATAATAATAATAATCATCATCATCATCATCTTTATTTGCACCCCGCTCCATCTCCCCGATGGGGACTCAGTGCGGCTTACATGAGGCCAAGCCCAAAACAACAATTACATAAAATAAAACAAAACCAAAAACGCAAATAATAAACAATTATAACGCATATATGGTTAATCTTACTCAGAAAAAGCTTCCTGCTGAATTCAACAAAAATAATTTCTAACAAAATATGCTTGCGTCTACAGCCATCGCTGCTATACAGGCAGTCCCCAAGTTACAGACAAGATTGGTTCTGTAGGTTAGTTCTTAAAGTGAATTTGTTTGTAAGTTGGAACAGGTACATTTTAAAGTGTAACTTCAGCCAGCCAGCCAGCCATCTATCTTTGGATAGCATGGGAAAGGTTTAACAACCCTGTTTTGCTGTCTGTGTCTGTTTGGAAGATTTTATCTCATGTTCTGTTCCTGTAATAATTGGATTTTGAAAAATTTGGCTCACAAGGATTGGCGACAAAACAGTGGAGACACCTTTTCGCCATGATAGCTCTTTCTGGAGTGAATTTCCCTTCTGAGGGGTAGATTTCTCTCACTTCTTTTTATTAGTTATGAGGTCCGTTGGTTGTTTTGCTTGCTTGTTTGCATGCTGCAAGTCGCTTCTGGTCGCTTCTGGAGTGAGAGAATCAGCCGTCTATGAAGACCTTGCCCAGGGGATGCCCGGATGTCTTGCAATCCTGCGAGGAGGCGTCTCTCCAACTTAAATGAAGAAATAGTTTTCTAAGCTCTACAGACACATTCGCTGGAACACCTCAGCAAACGAGAGTCCAAAAGTCGCAGGCTCAAACCTGGAACCTCAATCAATGGCTGATATCAAATGAGAGACTCCTCCCTGGGCACACAGAAAACTGGGCAACTTGGAAGGCGCTGAACAGACTGCGCTCTGGCACCACGAGATGCAGAGCCAGTCTTACGAAATGGGGCCACAAAGTGGAATCCACGACATGCAAATGTGGAGAAGAGCAAACTACAGACCACCTGCTGCAATGCAACCTGAGCCCCGCCACATGCACAATGGAGGACCTTCTTGCAGCAACACCAGAGGCACTCCAAGTGGCCAGATACTGGTCAAAGGACATGTAATTAACTACCAAGCTTGCAAACTTTGTGCTTTGTTTGTTAAAAATGCAATACAACTGTTTGGTTTGCTCCTGACACGATAAATAAATATTAGTTATGAGTTGTTTGGAAGCTGGATGTTTGTAACTCGGGGACAGCCTGTATTTTTAATATTTCTGATAATAAAAAAGTGAGGTCTATACTTTGAATGAATACAGTAGTGGCCATATTGACTGCTATTCACAGGGCAGCACTCCAGTCAATTTCATAAAAGATATGAATTTAGTCATGGCAACAAATATAGAAAAAATACCAACTATTAGTCATGAAAGCACACTTTTTATTGGTGTAGACACTTTTATAAGATTTAGGATCTTGCTGGATATTCCGTGGAAGGGATAATGGAGAGAGAACACTGATCAGAAGAAAGTTTCTATTCTTACACAAAATGTATTTGTCCTCTCATCTTTCTTACAGGATTAGTTGAAAACTTACATTTTAGAAATTCTACAGTTGAGCTACATAGGCTCCTGGTTAGCATGAGAGGAGGATTGATCTGAGGCATATATCACTTACATAAAATCAAATGCTCTCAAATGCATGATGACATTGGCGTCCATTTTTGTAACCTCAATGACAGGGAAGTTTTCTTCTCCTTCTTCCACTGCTTCATCACAGTCCTCCTCTTCCCTGAGATTCATTACTACCTTCATCTTATTCAAATGGCAGTTCTCCCGTATCATTGTAACTGATTTTTCATTGTAGTCATTAATTGTGACCTTCACAGAATTTCCCAGATGCTTTGCCCACTGCAGCCCCATTATACCTGGAGAGCAAGTAATATCTATATTTAGACACAGGCAACAATAAAAAAAACTTGCTCCAGTAGAGCTTCTGCCATAGAATCAGGATGATATCCTCCATGGACACAATGTGAATTAGAAAAATTCTTATCTGAAAAATATTCAGATACCTGTCCTCATCTGGCTTTATCGGATCAGCATGATTTTTACAGGCCTGCCCATAATACATGCATATTTGTAAGATGTGCCTGTTTTCCTGATACATTAGAGAAATGTAATAAAGCAATTCTAAGTTTGCTCACCTGGAAATAAATCATGCTCATATGAATGAAGTTAATTCCTGTTATTATACTGTAATATTGTAAATTGATTGGGTTTATTTTTTTTAAAAAAACATAATACAATAAATAAGTAATGTATTTAGAACTGCAGTTTAGGTTTACGGTTTCTCTTTTATGAGCTACATAAAGTGAATCAGAAACACAAGAATCGCAAACTACCTGTGGCTCCGAATGCATCTAAACATTCCAAAGGTTTTCGTTCCTCTGCTAGGACAGCTAAAGCACAGACTGTAAGCTGCCTATAAGGGGAAAAAACAATCTATATAAATAAAAATGTAATGTTCGTTTGTGGGATTAACAGAACTCAAAAACCACTGGATGAATCGACACCAAATTTGGACACAAGACACCTAACAACCCAATGTATATCCTTCACTCAAAAAAATTGATTTTGTCATTTGGGGAAATGTAGTTGCTGGGATTTATAGTTCACCTACAATCAAAGAGCATTCTGAACCCCACCAACGATGGAATTGAACCAAACTTGGCACACAGAACTCCCGTGACCAACAGTGGGTTTGGTGGGCAGTGTCCTTTGGTTTTGGAGTTGTAGTTCACCTACATCCAGAGATCACTGTGGACTCAAACAATGATGGATCTGGACCAAACTCTACACGAATACTCAATATGCCCAAATGTGAACACTGGTGGAGTTTAGGGAAAATAGAATCTTGACATTTGGGAGTTGTAGTTGCTGGCATTAATAGTTCACCTACAATCACAGAACATTCTCAACCCCACCACCGATAGAATTGGGCCAAACCTCCCACACAGAACCCCCATGTGTGCCACAGCAACGCATGGCAGGGGATGGCTAGTGTCTTAATAAAAATAAATGCCCAAAATGGCTTCATAATTTACTTTACTCAGTTTAAGGAAAAACTTTAAATGAACAGCAAAACAATTACATTTTCAATCTCGCCTCCTGTGATAAAAATAAATGAAAGGTTTGAGAGAGGACTTAAAACTTCCAACAATTAGATATTAAGAGATCCAGCCATGGAAATCTTCTGAATGACTTTGGGCATTCAGAGGGTTTCTATAGCTGGATCTCTTAATATCTCTGAGTTGAGAGTAAGACAGTGGCCAACCTCCTCTGAAGAAATTTTGCTAGAAAAATTGTATGAGAAAGTCACTGTAAGCTGGAATCAACTTGAAGGAAACAACAAACTATGATATTATAATTATACAGTAACATTTTATATTTGCCAGCGAGTCCATTCTCATGGTACATCCAGTGGATTCTGATTTTTACCATCACCTAATTCCCATCTTGACAGTGGGCTCACAGGCTGGCCTTTGCCTTTTTCTGATCCTCACTATCTCATATGTAAAAAAGAAATACCTAGCACCTATTGTCTTTTGTTAAAATGATCACTTATATTAAAATACTTAAAATTCCCTTTCCATAGAGAAATAAATTCTACAAGCTCTTACCTGTTAAGTTTCATTTTGGGATTAAAATATGAATCTGTTTTCTGTGGGGTAGTATAGTTAGGAAGAACCTGCACATCTGTATCTGCCTCTTTCACTATTTCACACGTAGGCTTAGGAGCTAGAAATAATGTTCAGAATAAAACAGCATAAGAGATATGATAACCCAGTTCAAATGATCACATAAAATTTCATAAACAGTGGATCAGACCCTGGCTTATTTCCTTGGCTTCTTAAATAAATTAAAGGAAGATCTCTGATGTGGCTGCACTGGCTTTGTCCTGGTTTTGTGAGAGAACCACCAAGATATTTACAAACACGACACAGAATATTTCATCATCATCATCATCTTCATAATCATCATCATCTTTCATTACTTATTAATCGCCCTCTATCTGAGAATGCTCTAGGCAATTTACAAGCTAAATTGTAAAAGATAAAATACATACATACAGGAATTAAAATTAACAGAGATCGAATGCTCTAGTAAAAAGCTAGGTCTTAAGTGCTAGAGTAAAAGGCCCTGTCACGCATGGCTCTCAAATAGGGCAGCAAGGTATTCCATAAGGCAGGGGCAGAAATAGTAAAAGCCCTGCGTCTGGTACTTTCCAAGTGCACTTCTCTAGAGTAAGTCGCATTGCGGCCTCCGATGATGGGAGAAGGAGAGGCGGTCCCTAAGGTATGATGGTCCCTGGCCGTAAATAATTTTAAAGGTCAGAACTAGCATCTTATACAGGCCACGGTACTCAGTTGGAAGCTAATGTAAATGTTGCAGCACTGGTGTTATATGGCATTTCATGGGCGTTATTGTGAGTAACTTGGCTGCCGCATTCTGAACAATACAGAGCTTTCGGGTCGTAGACATCAGAAGGCCAACATACAGGGCGCTGCAATAGTCCAGCCTAGATGTGACCGTGGCATGGATGACAGTTGCCAGAGCCTCGTCAGATAGGTAGGGTGCCAGTTGCCTCGCTTGTCGTAGATGGAAAAAGGCCTGTTTGCTGGCAGCAGCGACCTGAGCTTCCATTGTCAGCTGCGAATCCAGGACGACACCTAAGCTCTTAACGTGGTCGATGGAGATAGGGCGGCACCATCGAAGGTGGGTAACAGATGAGTCAGACCTGCCGGGCGGCCATGCCAGAGAACCTCAGTCTTTGCCGGGTTCACCTTCAGTCTGCTAGCACGTAGCCAGTTCGACAGAACTTCCAGACATAGGGTGAAATTGTCTGGAATTGACGTTGCTCTAGGCGCAGAAGGAGTTGGGTATCGTCCGCATATTGGCAGCAGTCTAGGCCGAAACTCCGAGCCAAACTAGCAAGGGGTCTAACATAGATGTTGAAGAGAAGAGGAGAGGGAATTGCACCTTGGGGGACTCCACATAGGAGGGGGGAATCTATTGGAGACTTGATCCATGTACTCCACGACAATCACCTTATTAATGAATAATGAATCCTCAGAACATGTGTAAACTTTATTCTACTTGGAAGCAAAACATTGCCTCAGTTCTATTATGGGAATTTGAAATCTGAATTTGGATTCAGTCACATTCCTTGAAGCAATTCCTTATTTGGCAATAAAAAAGCAAGGGATCTAATCATATGGGAAAAGATGCTAATCTTTTGAAGATATCCTGAGCAATGTGTTCACATCGCACAAGAAAAAAAATAATTAGAATGGTTATTTAGGAACATAGACTTTGTCTGTAGATTAACATTGTTATGAAATATAATCCTTGTGTGGTTTATCTTTTTTCATTAGAATTATAGTTGAATATATAAGATTTGTTTTAAGTGCAGAATTTTTCACTGCTTAACAGCTTAAAAAACGGTATAACACTTTTTGTTAAGATGCATTTTCATCAGTTCAAAAGATACTATTTGGACAAAGTAATGAGGAGAGGGATACAAAAATGTTGTACATATATGAGAGGTTATAGAAATGTGAAGTCCTTGTACTTTTAAAGTCATAGCAACTCAGCATATAAATACATATATAGTTCTATTCAAATTATTGTAATCCTAATTTTATTGTGTTATTTCACCTGCATATAAATAATTACTATATACTACGGCACACTGTTTTTTAAATGCTTGTAAGCCCACTTTGGATCCCCTACAAGGAGAAAGGCAAAATATACATTTTAAAATCCATGAAATCCTGTGCTGGGAGAAAGGTGGGATATAAAATAAATGGATAGCTAGATGTTCAAGAACCAAACAAAAAAAACTTAGTGTGGAAACAACAACATTCCACAATATTTACCTAACATAATTTCAATATTTACCTGACATAAACCTTGATTCAGTTTCTCCTTTATTGACATGGCGTTTAACGTGTCCTGTCATATCAGTCCTTCGGGTAATTGTTGCTGAACAAATTAGACAGTGATAATGGGATCCCATCTTTGCCGATATCTACAACACATATTGCATACAGATATATTAGTATATCTTGTTAAAGTAGTATTTTAACATAAAAGGTAACTAAGGCACTGCAGCAAACAGTCCTGGAGTTAAAAAAAAGGGGGGTTGAAAATGGGAAAAGTTTCTGGTAATAACACTCCTCAGGCATAAAAAAAGAAGCAGGAAAGAGCAAGATCTAGTTTCTTTGGGGGGGGGGGTATTCAAATCAGACTGAAAGAAAAGAAAGGAAATCCCTCAGTCTACATTTGCTAATGCCAATAATAGTTCTTGAATTATTCATACAGATAAATGGGAGTTATGCATTTATTGATCATACTATCAATGAATATGTTTATATTATTGGCCTTCAAAGACACAGAAAACATCAAGTTAAACCAGGGGATTCCAAACTACAGGCTCAGTGTGGTGTAGGCTCCTTCTTTGGAAGCTTTTAAGCAGAGGCTGGATGGCCATTTGTCAGGGGTGATTTGAATGCAATATTCCTGCTTCTTGGCAGGGGGTTGGACTGGATGGCCCATGAGGTCTCTTCCAACTCTTTGATTCTATGATTCTATGATTCTATGAAAATGTGATTGAACTGCCATAATGTATTCTTCATGGACCTCTGTCTATTATCAGTTTAGAATATAATTTCCTATTTTTAAAGGCATAAAGTGAAAATAAGTTGCAAATTTACTGTAAGAACTGCATAGGCTCTTGATTTCTTTCTGTGTGCAATTCAGCATATTAGCTGTAACATTTGAAGTCCAAAATGGTTTGAGCACTCTATTCTCTTTCTGTACACAAACTTCTCACGGAATATTTTGATGTGACCAGGATGCATGTCTGTAAACTTATTAACTATTTGAAGGTAGGCTGGGAGAGGTAAGTGGCTTGGTAACTTTGCTATGCTGTGAGGAAGGTGGTCTCTTCATCAAAAGAGGAGTACAGTAGTTAATTAGAGTCATATGGGTCATATGGAAGTCTATTAAAACAGTTAATACAGTCATTTCAATATGGTAATTTTCCTGTTACTGTACCTCCTTCTCTGCCTCTCAGATCTCACACATGCACACCTGCACCACTTCACTGCAGTCTTCAGGAGCGAAATCTGAGAGGCAGAGGAGGAGGTACGGTAATAGGATACAAGGGCGGGCCAGACAGGTAAAAGAGATGTCATTGTTTGGGCCCAGAGCCACTCTTTTTTCTATACCCCGGGCGCCCCGGAAGCCTGCAGCTTGCTCCGCCCTTCACTTATACCTTCCTGGTGAGGTGCCCTTTCACCTCACCATCGGGAGCACATTAAGTCCACGAATCCTGATGAATGGATTTTCTTCTACTGTACTTGTACAGAATCATCCTTATTGCTTTCATACAGTCGCTGCATACGGCAGGGATATGGTCATTGCCACTTTTGAGCTCCCCCCACCATATGCGGCAACCACAGATTCTCCAATTCAATTGGAAGTTTCAGCACCTGCTCTATAAGACGACTCCCATGTATAAGACTACTCCTGCGTATAAGGCTACTCCTGTGTATAAGACGACCCCGCGTATAAGATGACCCCTGACTTTTCAGAAGATTTTCTTGGGTTAAAAAGTAGTCTTATACACCAGAATATATGTTTCAGCCAGAGAAGTCAGTAACAGCAGAACACATGATAAACAAACGTGGGCACAGAATATTATTTGAAAGCACAGAAATTCTGGACCACTCGGACAACCACTTTGTCAGATTACACAGAGAAGCCATTGAAATCCACAAGCACATGGACAATTTCATCAGAAAGGAAGAAACCATGAAAATGAACCAAATTAGTATTGAGAAACACAAGAATCAAGACAATAAGTAATGAACACCATTCAGAAACAGGGATGCCTCTAGGCCAGTGGTTCTCAACCTATCAGTCCCTAGGTGATTTGGCTCCTCCCAGAAGTCCCAGCCAGTTTACAAGCTGTTAGGATTTCTGAGAGTTGAAGGTCAAAACATCTGGGGACCCACAGGTTGAGAACCACTTCTCTAGGCAATAAATACTCCAGGGGAACTGGCTACTTCTAGGCAGATTCACTCACTATTGACTATGCAATCTTCTCAGTTACACACATGCTAATTGATGAATCCCACTCAAACACTTGCAAATCAGGCTTGCTAACTGCACCCTTCACACTTGGTTAATAGACATTTGTTATTTCTCCCACCCAGGACATTCCACAGATAGATAGATAGATAGATAGATAGATAGATAGATAGATAGATAGATGATAGATAGATAGATAGATAGATATTCCACTTGCTTTACCATCATCAGATCCTCTCAAGATGATAGCCAGCCACAGTTGCAGGCAAAATGTCAGGAGAAAATGCTGTTAGAACAGGGCTTATACAGCCTGGAAACCATGCAACAACCCAGTGATTCCAGCCGTGAAATACATAAAACAGTAAATAACTAGTCTTATTTTTGAGAAGGAATATATATGGCTGAACATCTATTACCAGATCTGCAGAGACATTTGGTTTCACAGGGTGGCAAGGTAAGTGACATATGCACATTCTGTAACCTGGAAATCAGAAAGGACATTGGTCATCTCTTATACATATTTTTGTTATATATCGGTTTTATTTATTTATTTATTAATCAATCAATTTTATATACCGCCACTCCCCGAAAACTCGGAGTGGTTTGCAATATACATATGCGATACATTTAAAATCAAAGAAAAATTCCGATCAGCAAGATTCAAATGCCAGCTTAAATAAGTAAGTTTTACAAGCTCTACGAAAAGATAGTAAGTCCCACATAACAGATGGCAAAAAGAGGAAATTTTATGAAGAATGTAACTTCATTTTAAGATTTACACAGCTATATAACCAAATGCTTGAACAAGAACCAGTTTTATCTTTTGACAAACATGACATCAAAGTCAGTTGTCTTTGCATAAATAATGGAGTTGCATCTGTCTTTACCTTCAAATTCAACAGATACTTTCCAGTGGAGATTCTGAATGTGCCGATAGAGCTTATGACCAGAACAAGCCTTGAACCTTTCTTCAGGGCACAGTGGGCATAACTTCTTGTCACCTAGTAAAGTTAAAAGATCAAAACAAGGAGAGATGCAATAATTTGCCTCTTACTATGAATTCATATGGGACATAGTTTAAAAGAGTGCTCATTTCTGTAATTGATAGGGAAATATCCTTTAATACCAGAAGCATTTTCTTTTCAGCCTTATGTTAATCACACCTGGAGCAAATTCAAATACCTGCATTCTCAGAAACAGATGTGGTTAAGCAACCTTCCTTCAGGTCAGCCAGCTTCTCTAAATCAGCAAGCGTCCTTTGAATTGAAATATGTTTCTCTAGAAGAAAACAAATCAATTATTTTTTCAGTTACTATTTTTATATTGTCTAGAAATGTTCAGTAAATTGGGACTGTATGTTATTCCTTTAAAGTAATGGTGTGAATGAGGATTTCTAGATGTTGATGGATAACAACTCCTTGCATTTGTCACTACCAACTATGTTTCCTATGGAGCTGAAGTAAGATGCAGGGCCACCTGATCCCCATCTCTGTCTTAAAGAACTCTGTGGCAGCTTGGAGGTTTTCTAATGAGCAACACTAAATCAATTATTTACCAGCACAACTGTAAAATATCCCTATTCACCAGAACAACTGTCAAATATCCCTATTTTCCCTTGTATTGCTGGATCTTTCTAAAAAAAACAAAACATTAAACTACTGTGTTTACTTGAGCATAATGCATCATCAAATCTAATTAGTGCCTCAACTTTAGCAATGTACCTTAGCCAAAAAAGGTAAATATGGGTAAATATGGTATAAAAACATTTTAAATGATATAAAAGTCATGACCAGACTCTTGTGTGGTAGCTACATCTTCGTAAGGGGGCCTAAGCATGTGGGAATTAGAAGTGGACGCTTTTAAAACATCTGTATCCGGTAGAAGGCGGTTATCATATCAGTATGTAGCACAGCTGACAAATGCACAATGAGATCAGTGTGCATCAGACATTCTTGCCACTGTCCCAAAATATTTTAAATACTGTTAAAAGAAAGAATTTGTAAAATGGGCATAAACAACATGGGTTTGCATAAACCAGTAACAATGTAAACTAAGTATTTTTGTAAACTAAGTATTTTTAAGAGGCAAGCACTTTGGGACTACTATGCGTGCTTCAGCTTACACTCATTCTTTGCACTGGTGAAATTTTGACTTATATGTTCACAGTATTTCTTTTGATGCTAAGCCTTAAAATAGACATTGGGGCAGTCTGCTGTAGTAATATTTACATGCTTAGAATCAGGAGACAGGTATTAGAAATCATGCAAACATCCTCTACAGACTGTATATATTGGGACAAAAAACCTCTTAGAGGGTTGGATAATGGATCCAATAGATTAGTGTTAGGTTCCTTTATAGACTCTTGCTCTGCTTCCTCCATTTCGATTTTCACTTCATCATCAATTATTTCCACGTCTGGTTTGTGGCTCTCAGTTTGCCCAGAGTCATCAGTGCCATCTACAAAAAGATGGGGAAATATGGTCACTATACATGTTAAATAACTTTATTTGCAACAGATTAAAATGCATTAATATCACTACCACAAAAATGCAAAAAAGATCAAGATCCAGCCCAATCCTCACTTAGGATTCTACACTGTAGAAATAATGTGGTTCGATAGCACCTTGATTGCCATGGCTCAATTTGCTAGAGAAGGCTAAAGACCTTGTAAACTACAACTCTCTGGATTCCATAGCATGGAGCAGTGGTGTCCACTAGCAAAACGTCGCTTTCTTAGTCTTGAAGTAGCCAGAGGGAGCATTCAGACTCCTTTGGCTCCCTCTCTGCTCTTTTTGCCAGTGCGCAAAAAACTTTCTATTCAAATAGGGTTTTCGCCTTTAATTGACTGGATAGAAGGATGCAACACAGTTTTTTTGTCCTATGCTTTTTAATTGTTGTAAATAAATGTTTTATTTAGATTGATTCTTTAATACTTTTTAAATACTAGGCTGGACCCAAAGCATAGAGAGCTTTATAGGTGATAACCTGCACTTTGAATTGGGCCTGAAAATACACAGCAGCCAGTGGAGCTGTTTTAACAAGGGAGTGGTATGCTCCCTGTAGTCAGGTCCTGTGAGAAACCTGGCTGTTGCTCTTTGCACTAATTGCAGTTTCCGAACCGTCTTCATAGGCAGCCCCACGTAGAGTGCGTTGCAATACTCCATCAAGACGTAAGTAAGGTGTGGACCATAGTGGCCAGAGCAGGCTTTTTGAGGTACGGTTGCAGTTGATGCACAAACTTTGTGTGAAAGCCCTTCCAGCCCTTCCGCTGACATCTAAGCTTCAAGAGTCATCGCTGAGTCCAGTGTCCTTAGGTAAAGGTTTTCCCCTGACATAAGTCCAGTCGTGTCCAACTCTGGGGGTTAGTGCTCATCTCCATTTCTTAGATATAGCTTTATAGGTGATAACTTGCACTTTGAATTGGGACCAGAAACTTATCAGCAGCCAATGGAGCTGCTTTAGTAGGAGCATAATGTGCTTCCTATGGCTGGCTACAGTTAGTAACCTAGCTACTGATCTTTGCACCAATTGCCGTTTCCGAGCTGTCTTCAAGGGCAGCCCCAAATAGAGTGCATTACAGTAATCCAATCTTGATGTAACTAAGGCATGGACCACCGTAGCCAAGTCCAGCCTCTCGAAGTATGGTCAGAGCTGGTGCACAAGCTTTAACTGTGTGAAGGCCCTCCCAGCCACTGCCAATACCTGAGCTTCAAGAGTCAGCGCTGAGTCCAGGAGGAATCCAGACTGCCTACCTGTATCCTTAGGTAAAGGTTTTCCCCTGACATTAAGTCCAGTCGTGTCTGACTCTGGGGTGTGGTGCTCATCTCCATTTCTAAGCCGATGAGCCGGCGTTGTCCATAGACACCTCCAAGGTCATGTGGCCAGCATGACTGCATGGAGCACCGTCACTTTCCCGCCGGAGCGGTACCTATTGATTTAGGGGGAGAGTAATCCCGCCGAGCAAAAGTAGCCATGCGATACCCAGATTAGCCCGCAACTGACCAGGATGACCTCTGTCTTGTCAGGATTGAGTTTTGGTGATAGTGTGATAGCTGGGTCCGGAAGCTCCGAGCCTTATGCACATTCCGCAACGGTGGGTGTGAAAAATGGAAGGGGAAAGAGGGTGGGAATATACAGGGCGAGGCAGCATAACTTCCTTTTTTAAAATGCGCACCATTCACCATTCAGTCGTTTGAAGACGTAGCGGAGCGCTAGTGGTCTCGTTCGAGAGGAGGGAATATAAAGTTTTGTACTGACACAGTTCAGTCGCCATAATGCGTTGGAACAGTGAGGAGCATGCTTTTGCCGTTGAGGCCTACTTTTCAAGCGGATTTGGAGTGGCCGGCCTGCTCTCCAGATTTGGACCCTTGTGATTTTTTTTATGGGGTTTTTTTGAAATCCCGTGTTTATGTGAACTGTCCAAGGACCCTACAAGATTTGAAGACCAACATCCATGAAGAAATTGCCAACATAATGCCTGCTATGCTGGCAAGAGTCATGAAAAACGCCAGAAACAGTGTATGGAGAATGGGAGACGTCACCTACCTAATTTGATCTTCAAAACGATGAAAAACAAAACTTTAGGTATGTGTCTACATTATAAAAAAAATTCTGATTCATACAATGGGTTTTATTAAGTTTTGAAAAAAGGAAATTATGTTGCCTCACCCTGTACTTCGTAGTTATATTTGGTAGAATGATAGAGAGGAGGGGAGGGTTAGGATAAGGTTTAAGGTAAGGGTTAGGATGGGTTAGGGTAAGGTTTAGGGTTTGGGTTAGGATTAAGGTTAGAATCAGGTTTAAGGCTTAGGCTTAGGGTTTGGGTAAGGTTTAGGGTAAGGGTTAGGGTTTTACCTGAAGGAGCGAAGCGGAAACAGTGTAACACTCAGAGCTTCCAGACCCAGTTTTCATACTATTACCAAAAGCTGGGTTGCAGTTAAACATAACTTTAAAAGCTGGGTTGCAGTTAAACATAACCCAGTGGTGGCTCCTCAGCTGTGGAACACCCTTCCTGCGGACATCAGACTGGCGTCCTCCCTTATGATATTCCGCAAGAGATTAAAGACGTGGCTGTTCGAGAAGGCGTTCGAACAAGTAGTGCAATAACTGGTAATGACGATAGGAACGGAACAACGGAAAACGATATTGGATTGTGGTTCAACGATGAGACAACTCGAATGACTTTGTTGTAACTGTATTATTGATATTGAGATTGTGGATGTTATTGATGATGATGCTTTTGATATTGCTAGTTGTTGTTAGATTATGTCTTGTAAATTGCACCTTATTTTTACATGTTGTACACCGCTGTGAGTCGCCCCTGGGCTGAGAACAGCGGTCTATAAGCACAGTAAATAAATAAGTAAATAAATAAAATAAAATAAAAACCAAGATTATGGCAACAAGAATGATTGACAACTGGGAAACAGAGGGAGAAAATGTGGAGGCAGTGACAGACTTTGTATTTCAAGGTATTTCAAGATGCAGACTGCAGCCAGGAAATCAGGAGATGCTTACTTCTTTGGAGGAGAGCAATGACCAATCTTGATAAAATAGTGAAGAGTAGAGACATCACACTGGCAACAAAGATCCACATAGTCAAAGCAATTATATTTCCCGTAGTAACCTACAGATGTGAGAGCTGGACCATAGGGAAGGCTGAGCAAATGAAGATAGATGCTTTTGAACTGTGGTGTTGGAGGAAAGTTTTGAGAATGTCTTGGTCAGCGAGAGAATCCAACCAGTCCATACTTCAAGAAATAAAGCCCGACTGCTCATTGGAGGGAAGGATAGTAGAGACAAAGATGAAGTACTTTGGTCACATCATGAGAAGAAAGGAAATCTTAGAGGAGACAATGATGCTGGGGAAAATGGAAGGAAAATGGAAGGTACATGGATCAAGTCTCCGATAGATCCCTCCTCCTATGTGGGGTCCCCCAAGGTGCAATTCTCGCTCCTCTTCTCTTCAACATCTACATTAGACCCCTTGCTAGTTTGGCTCAGAGTTTCAGCCTGGACTGCTATCAATATGCGGATGATACCCAACTCGTTCTGCGCCTGGAGCAATGTCAATTCCAGACATTTTCACCCTATGTCTGGAAGCTCTGTCGAACTGGCTACGTGCTAGCAGACTGAAGGTGAACCCGGCGAAGATTGAGATTCTCTGGCACAGCCGCCCGGCAGGTCTGACTCATCAGTTACCCACTTTCGATGGTGCTGCCCTATCTCCTTCGCCTACCATTAAGAGCTTAGGTGTCGTCCTGGATTCGCAGCTGACAATGGAAGCTCAGGTTGCTGCTGCCAGCAAACAGGCCTTTTTCCATCTACGACAAGCGAGGCAACTGGCACTCTACCTATCTGACGAGGCTCTGGCAACTGTCATCCATGCCACGGTCACATCTAGGCTGGATTATTGCAACGCCCTGTATGTGGGCCTTCCGATGTCTATGACCCAAAAGCTCCGTATTGTTCAGAATGCGGCAGCCAGGTTACTCACAAGAGTGCCCATGAAATGCCATATATCACCAGTGCTGCAACATTTACATTGGCTTCCAACCGAGTACCGTGGCCTGTATAAGATGCTAGTTCTGACCTTTAAAATTCTTTACGGCCAGGGTCCATCATACCTTAGGGACCGCCTCTCCTTCTCCCATCATTGGAGGTCGCAACGACCAGCCCAACGCGACTTACTCTATATTCTGGGTCCTAGAGAAGTGCACTTGGAAAGTACCAGATGCAGGGCTTTTACTATTTCTGCCCCTGCCTTATGGAATTCCTTGCCGCCCTATATGAGAGCCATGCGTGACTTAGGGCCTTTTACTCTAGTACTTGAGACCTGGCTTTTTACTAGAGCATTCGATCTCTGTTAATTTTTAATTTCTGTATGTATGTATTTTATCTTTTACAATTTAGCTGTAAATCGCCTAGAGCATTCTCGGATGGAGGGCAATTAATAAGTAATTAAATATGATAGTGATGATGATGATGATGATGATGATGATGATGAAAAAGGAAGAGGGGCCAACCAAGGGCAAGATGGATGGATGGATGGTATCCTTGAAGTGACTGGCTTGACCATGAAGGAGCTGGGGGTAGTGACGACCGACAGGGAGCTCTGGCGTGGACTGGTCCATGAAGTCACGAAGAGTCAGAAAAGACTGAACGAATTGACAACAAACCTGAGTTTCAGTTTGTTAGCCCCACCCAGCCCATCACAGCTGCCAGGCACTAGTCCAAGACTTGAGAGGTTTGGGGCCCTACCCCAGAGGTGGCCCTAGGTAATTTTCAACAGTAAGCACACAGTATTCCACCCCCCCCCCAACCAATCACTGATATATATTTTCTGTTCGTCGTGGGAGTTGTGTGTGCCATATTTGGTTCAATTCCATCATTGGTGGAGTTCAGAATGCTCTTTGCAGGCCCGTAGCCAGGATTTCGTTTCGGGGGGGGGGGGGGCTGAATTTTTTTCAGGGGGGGTTCGGGGGGGGGGAGTCTGAGTGAAAGAGGGTCTAGCCTAGCAAACCTTTTGTATCATTACCCCAATACCCCCATGCATATGGGATATATTGAGTATGGTGATCAGATCATGATATGAATAAACATAACAGTTTAAATAATGCACCAGTAAGGCCTTTTCACGAACCACCAAGAGAATTTCGGGGGGGCTGAAGCCCCCCAACCCCCCCCCCCGGCTACATGCCTGCCTCCATGGGATGAGGGGCCATATCTATAGGACCCCCCCCCCCCCCCCCAGTACTACCTGAGGAGGACCCATAACGCTGGGCCAGAAGTTGCGGGGAAACAACGCACCTGACGCCTGCACGCACTCAAACCCCCTCCCCCACCCCCGGGGAAAGGACCACAAACGCGACTCCTTCCCTCCTTTCCTTCCTTACTGGGCTGGTCAGTTTCCTCCTCCTCCTCCTCTCCGCCTTCGGGGGGAGGCCGCGGGGGGAGCCCCAGGAGCAGCAGCCCCGACGCCTCTCCGTCCGCCATTTTCCCCGCCGAACGGCTGAGGCCCCCGTGGCGCGCCTCTCGGGACGCTCGGCGGACAGCGTCGTTGGCAAACCCCTCAGCGGCGGCGGACTACGCTACCCAAGATGCACAGCGGCCAGAGCGCCGGCAGAGGGTGCCAAACGCGAGAGGAAGAGGAACCACAACACCCGGCATGCACCGCGCGCGGCAAGGGTTGAGTTTGAGGAAAGGAAGACGCGCCACAGCTAGAATCCGGCGGGGAAGTGGAGAGGCTTCCTTGGAGGGGAAGAGGTCAGTGAAAGGGGCCGGGGAAGCCCCTCTTTGTAAAATTGTCCGCGTAGACCAGGCATGGACAAACTTGGGCCCTCCCTCCAGGTGTTTTGGACTTCTACCATTCCTAACAGCCTCAGCTCTTTCCTTTCCGCTTAAGCGGCTGAAGGGAAAAAGGAAGGGCTGTTAGGAATGGTGGGAGTTGAAGTCCAAAACACCAAGTTTGCCCGTGCTTAGCGTAGAGCAGTGGCTCTCAACCTGTGGGTCCCCAGGTGTTTTGGCCTACAACTCCCAGAAATCCCAGCCAGTTTACCAGCTGTTAGGATTTCTGGGAGTTGAAGGCCAAAACATCTGGGGACCCACAGGTTGAGAACCACTGGCGTAGAGACTGGAGTTTGGCATAAGGAGAGGGAAGCGAGGCCACTCCTCTGACAGGGCGGCTGCCGGATGTTTTGTTGTTCTTGTGGTGAGCAGGCCTCGCCTCGGCCCTCTTGCTGAGGGGCTGCACTACAGGGCCAGGGCTTCCTTCATAGAATCCTAGAGTTGGAAGAGACCTCATGGGCCATCCAGTCCAACCCCCTGCCAAGAAGCAGGAATATTGCATTCAAATCACCCCTGACAGATGGCCATCCAGCCAAACTCACCAGGATGTAAAGTATGTCATGGAGAGTCTGCGTGGCAAGTTTGGTCCAGGTCCATCATTTGTGGAGGTCACAGTGGTCTCTGGATGTGAAGGTACTGGAAATCCAATCATTTGTGGTCCATCCTTCCCCAAACCACACCAGCAAGTAAAGTGTATCATTGGGGGAGAGGGGTCCTATGTGGCAAGTTTGTTCCAGGTCCATCATTTGTAAGGATTGCAGTGGTCTCAGGAAGTGATTGAAGGTACTGCAAATCCCATCAGCTGTGGCAAGTATGGTAGAATCATAGAATCAAAGAGTTGGAAGAGACCTCATGGGCCATCCAGTCCAACCCCCTGCCAAGAAGCAGGAATGTTGCATTCAAATCACCCCTGACAGATGGCCATCCAGCCTCTGTTTAAAAGCTTCCAAAGAAGGAGCCTCCACCAGAGTTCCACTGCTGAACGGCTCTCACAGTTCTTCCTCATGTTCAGGTGGAATCTCCTTTCTTGTAGTTTGAAGCTATTGTTTCGCGTCCTAGTCTCCTGGGAAGCAGAAAACAAGCTTGCTCCCTCCTCCCTGTGACTTCATCTCACATACTTATACATGGCTATCATATCTCCTCTCAGCCTTCTCTTCTTCAGGCTAAACATGCCCAGCTCCTTAAGCCGCTCCTCATAGGGCTTGTTCTCCAAACCCTTGATCATTTTAGTCACCCTCCTCTGGACATTCCAGCTTGTCAATATCTCTCTTGAATTGTGGTGCTGGTGCCCAGAATTGGACACAATATTCCAGGTGTGGTCTAAGCAAGGCAGAATAGAGGGGTAGCATGACTTCCCTGGATCTAGACACTATGCTCCTATTGATGCAGGCCAAAATCCCATTGGCTTCTTTTGCCACCACATCACATTGTTGGCTCATGTTTACCTTGTTGTCCATAAGGACTCCAATATCTTTTTCACACGTACTGCTCTCGAGCCAGGCTTCCCCCATTCTGTATCTTTGCATTTTGTTTTTCCTGCCAAAGTGGAGTATCTTGCATTTGTCACTGTTGAANTTTTGCCGCCACATCACATTGTTGGCTCATGTTTAACTTGTTGTCCACGAGGACTCCAAGATCTTTTTCACTAGCACTGCTCTCGAGCCAGGCATCCCCCATTCTGTATCTTTGCATTTTGTTTTTCCTGCCAAAGTGGAGTATCTTGCATTTGTCACTGTTGAACTTCATTTTGTTAGTTTTGGCCCATCTCTCTAATCTGTCAAGATCGTTTTGAATCCTGCTCCTGTCCTCTGGAGTATTGGCTATCCCTCCCAATTTGGTGTCGTCTGCAAACTTGATGATCCTGCCTCAGGGCAGAATGTAAATGCTTTAAATAAATAACAAATAATTCAGCTCAGAAATTCCAGCAGAAGTTGTCCAAGATATGTGCCAACCCAAACCGGGAAGGCTTTTGACACAGCAAGGTCAATGGTCAGCCTGTATGGGCAGCACCAACACAAAACACAAGGCAGCTGCCCTGCAAGCAAATTGATGGTAGCCGCTCTTTTAGCCACTCATCACCGAGAAGCAAGACTTTTGCTTGGCTCACATCCTTGACATGGGGATGTTCCGCCATTTATCTTTCTCAAGAAGTCTTTCAGGTTCGGGCACTTGTTTCTCCAGAGAGTGCCTACCTGCAGTCCTGCCAAAACATGTAGCGGGCACAGGGCAATGAGGGACTTGTTCGAACAATAAGAGCAGGAGCTCCCGGCTTCTCAGTGGGAAGGACAAGTCTATCCTGCTGCTCCAGTCTTTGATGTTTGCACCATAGTGTGACAACAACCCCCAGGCTTGCAAGAAGGGCTCGCCATACTTCAAATAGTTGCTTGTTTACAGCATTTGTGTGTGTGTGCATGTGCATACACACTTTTCATCTGCAAGGGGTTACCAGGGCATGGTGCAATAGAGACACATGGTGCAATAGTGATGTCATGTACATTATTGTGTTCTAGGAAGGATATCAAATACATAGTAGAGGACGAATGGGAATCCTTACAAGATGTATTTGGACCCTGGCTCCCAGCAGACTGAGTCTACATAGCGGGTGGCAAAGATGCTAGGAGATAATAGGAGTAGGAGTAGGAGTAGTAGTAATAGCACCAGCACTCTGTGGCAGAAAAGGCTATTGGTTGTTGTGCTTGTATGGCCAGTCTATCACAGAATCATAGAATAACAAAGTTGGAAGAGATCACATGAGGAATCCAGTCCAATCTCATGATACCACCAGGGCGGCTCAACCCATTACGCAAAGTAAGCATTTGCAGTATAGTTGATTTTGCCCAGGGGCGCTCTTG